TATATAGAAAGCCACAGTAGCTCAGCGGTCAGTGCTGTGGCCTTGTAACTTTGAGGCTGCAGGTTCAAGTCCAGGCTACATTGAGAGGGGCAAACCCTGAAGTGGTTAGACTCATAAATAAGCAGAAAAATTACTGTAATGCCACTTAGATTGGTGATATGTCACTTTATCTGTGCTACTGATTATCCATGCTGCTGATTTCTTGCCTTTATGCTGCTGTATTTACTTTGCATATCCATCTGCTCCCAACAGACTCGTGTTCAGGCTGCTGTTTAATACACTGTATTATATTATTATTGTTTAGTGTATATCTTAGATCCTTGTATTTTTTTATACTCTATATTTTTGCTATTTTTGGATGTAACTGGGACCTTGAGTACACAATTTTGTTCCACCTCATGTGCCACATGTGATGAGAATGACAATAAAGAACCTTGAACCTTGATTCATTCAGCACATAAAGATAAAAGCGAAGTCATCTGTGCGAGTTTGTTTGCTGTGGCCACCCCTGCTGAAGATCGCAGAATAAGAAAGTAATATACTGAATGTGGTGTGAAGCGTGATTCTTTTGGGCTTCCTCCATCCTCGTGTTCTTTTTCTCACCTGCCTGTATGTTGTATGTAACGTCTCTCTTGTAATTGAGTCTTTGAGGCTCAACCTGTATAAACAAAGGTCTAATAATAAAAATGTGCATGTGTTTTAGCAAAATACCTCATGAACCACTTGATGGATTTTAATAAAAACTTTCAGAAACTAATTATCGGAAGTATTTGCATGACCAGTTAACTTTGGAAGCCAACCCAATTCAAGTTGTCTTCCCAACAACACACACTCCAAGCAGAGCTCAATGCACAAGCTGCTTATCAAAAACGTTAGCGTTGACTATTGAAGTCGAGCCTGTTAGTCTGTTAGCAAAACATCTAGTAAAAAAGAGGATGCATTGTAATGAAACTTTCATTGGACGTACGTCTGCAGCTGAATAACTTTAGGAGTCACTACAATTAAAGATAACCACAACACCTAATCAAACTTAGCCAACCTAAAAAATGGCTACAACTCAGTCAGTTTTATAGATCGTGAGCAAAATGTAGGTGCGGTGATAATTGAGATTAAACATGTAAAAATATTGTATATATTTCTCTAATATTACAGCAGTGCAAATGATGTGCTAGTGATTTGATGCATCTTATTTCAATGCATTTCGCCCAAGCTTTAAAGAAAACTTTGATAAAAGAAGTTATTGGGAGCCTTGTCTTAGTGTGTGGGCATCTTTCTGCAGGACAAACTGATTGCCTATCGGGTTTCTACAGAACATAAACAAACTATTTTACTGTAAGCCCTGTTATTTTCTGCCTCCAATTGGTAGCTGTGCGCTCCTGTGCTTGTTCTATTCAAAACAGCAATTCAATCTTTTCCAAGCCCTGTTGTTTGTGGCTGATCATTAAAACAGATCCAACCATCATAAACATGGCTGGTGTGGATCCCCCACCTCCTCCTGCACACCGTCCGGACCCCAAACCACACACTCGAGGTAAAACACTCATTACTGACACTTATAATGACTGGGCTGCTGGATTGTGCTGACTCCTTCGCTCAGACCACAGTCAACTGGAAACACATTGGGCTGGAGCCATAAAGAGGGAAAAAACAAGAAAAATCCCACATTCGTGTTGCTGTAAACTGTGTCAGCAGCCTGGAGCCCGTCTGACTCAGAGCTCACACATAATGTTTGCGAAGCTGCTGGATCCATTTTCAGAACAAATCTGAAAACAAAATTGATGACGAATAGATTCTTCAATCGTTGTTTACAAAAGAAACAGGTCAAGACACACGTTACTCTGTCTGTTACTAACATTCTGGATCAGGATGACTGTAGGCCTGACTTCATTTTACAGCTTGTTTCTACTGAAATACGAAGAAAAAAAAGAAACAAAGAAGAGTAGTTTGGGGGACAAACATTAAAAAGCAATGGCTTCTGCAAGGATAACAGTGTGAAATGTTGCTTCAAAAGACAAATAAAGAATAAATGCAAGGTTTATGACTCAGCTGACAAAAATATCCACAACATATTGTCTGCTTGTCTCACCAGATTATTGTCAGGAGCAGAATACAACGTCACACATGTCCATCTGTGCTGAAATGAAGCTATCATGCACCCAAAACCCACTCATTGTGACAGTTTGTCAAAAAAAATACCTTTTCTTCGATTCTATTATGTTTTACAGCCTGCTGCTTGGTTCTGATGCAGATTTAATTATAAGAATTCCCTGATAATACCCGGGAAAACTGAAAAGTGACAGCATTTTTTTTCCCCCTGCAACCTGGATCCAATTATAGAAAGCATTTTCTTCGACATGTTCTCCCTTGTTTAAATAAAAAAAGACAAACAACGACTTACGCTGTGTAAGAGTCATCTCTATGAGCATCTTCTTCTCGGTGCTTGCTGCAGATGTGCGAGTCTGTCGGCGGTTAAAAAGACATGAAGCCTCAGAAGTTCAGTGAGCAGCAGCTGAGTTCTGCTGTGTTCCTGAAGTCTGGAGTCTCTCCACAAACTCCTCCTCCACCATCACTGAAATTTAATACTTCCATAGTTCTGCACTCCTCATGGACAAACACACTAACTTTTAACAGATGAGGTACTGGAATGCCAACCGAGCAGACAAATAAAATCAAAATACAATGATCTGGATTACAGCTCCAGACAGCATCACTGATAAAACACAATGGGATTTGTCTTTTTGTGTCAGGAAACGAAAAACATCCAACAGTCTTGTTCTGTTTACTACTTCAGTTTAGGAATAAATTTTTCAGTCTGTCCTTTCTCTTTAGATGGCATTAATCTGGCCTCCAGCTCTAATGTTAAAAATCTTGGTGTTATTTTTGATCAGGACATGACTTTTATCCCCCACATTAAAAACGTTACCGCCTTCTTCCACCTGCGTAATGTCACTAAAATTAGAAACATCTTATCTAAAAATGATGCAGAAAAACTGGTTCATGCATTTATCATGTCTTGGTCTATTGTAATGGTTTGTTATCTGGGTGTCCAATACTTCTTTAATAAGTCTTCAGTTGATCCAAAATGCTGCTGCTAGTTTTTTTTTATTTTTTTTTTATTTTAAATAAGAGTTAAAGGAGAGAGCATATCTCTCCAGTTTTAGCTTCTCTCCATTGACTCCTCTCTTGTGGAACAAACTTCCAGTTTCAGTCTGTAAGGCCGACACATTGTCCAGTTTTAAGTCTTTCCTTTTTAATAAATCCTATAGTTAGAGTTGGCTTGGGTTTCCTGAGCTATCCCTTAGTTACTGCTAAAGGCTTAGACTGCTGGAGGATAAACCGACCACATCTCCTCACTCTGCTGCTGTTTTTACTCACTCTACCTGTTTGTATTTGTAATTATTTCTATTCTTAACATGTGTAGAAAGTACACCTGGAACTGTCATTCTGTGTCCGTTTCTCCTTCCAAACCCCAACCGGTCGAAGCAGATGGCCGCTCGTCCAGAGCCTGGTTCTGCTGGAGGTTTACTCCTGTTAAAAGAGTTTTTCCTTTCCACTGTCTCCTTTGTGCTTGCTCAGGGTGGAAGACTGCGACGACGTGAAGATTCAAAGTGTCTGCTGGCTTCCGTCCTTAGATAGAACTTGTACTAATTGTATTTTGTATGAATGTTTCTGTTCAGTGCCCTGAGACAACTTCTGTTGTGAAAGTGTTCCCTCCTCTTGGTGCTTTCTGTTTTGTTGCCCTACACTCTGGAGTTTAAATGAAACTATATATTTTACCTTATGAACCTCTGCGGACCCTAGGTCCTCTGGCACTGGACTACTAAAGTCCTATGATCAGGGCCAGCCCAAGCCTCCATGGGGCCCTAAGTGAAATTTGGTTTGAGGCCCTCTATTTCTGCTAATAATGTGGATTACTGCAATCAACAGTCAGATGATCAGATCATTCACCCTCCTAACAGAAACTCATTGCAACTCTGACAGCCCTGCTTACATTACCCTATATGTGAGGTACTAAAAGTAACATAAGAAAACAAAAAACACCAGTATGCAATGTATTTTACAGCAAAAGTGTAATCTGGTTTATCATCTTTGGTTCCAAAGAACTGCATCAGTAATGCTCAAACTAATTTGTAGTGCAAGATCAACAACAAACAACAGATAAAACAACTTAGATGCATAAAAATAACTTAAATTGTACAAAAACAGACAAAATTAAATAAAATAAAAAATAAAATATCAAGGAAATACTTAAATAATGTAAATGAACAATTACTTGAAACCATTTAAAATGTTTGTTTTTTAAAGGAAATTTAAAGTTGAATAATTAGTTCTTAAAACTATGTACAGGTGTGCAATAATTTGCAAAAGCCGAACTTAAAATATAAAACACTCTTTACACACCCATTAGACCTGTTTATGTTACTTCTTCCTCAATATGTCACAAACTTCCTAAAACCTGTGCTTCCTGGCTTTTCTGGTTGCAAAGTCATTTATGGCATCACTGTAAGAAATCTGATGGCCAACTTTGTTGTTGATACTAATCACTGCCAGTCCACTCAGTCGTTCTTGCACCATGGAAGATCTCAAACAGTTCTTGATTAGTTTGAGCTTGGAGAAGCTCCTCTCTTCCTTCATTTTACCATATTGTTACAATGATCATCACTATTTTCAAGCTGTTTCAGCAGTGCCCATGTTGACCCAATCGCACTGTCCCTCGCTTTTGTAATACATCAGCCAGCTCCGCCTGACTTTTTCCCCATTGACCAACTGTCTGTAGGCAAAGTGATAGTGAAAACTTTGACCACCGTGCCTTTTGGGGAAGGAAATGTTCTCCTTAATCGGCAGTGGCCTTCTGATCACTGCTCAGTCCTGTCTGAATCTGAGAGGAAAGATGGCCGCTCAGCTGGGTCAACTGGAGGAGCTGATGATCCGTGGGTTGCATGGGACTTTGACGTGGAAGCTTCTGAGGAAGAGACAAAAGAAAGACAATGACTAAATAATAAGGACATAACAGGACAGAACATTTTAGTTTTGTACATAATTATCAATATCAGAATGCTCTGCAGTACAGTGAGGAATTATACAATAATACAATACAACTTTATTTATAGAGCACTTTAAAACAACACTGTTGGCCAAAGTGCTGTACACTAGGACATACAAAAACATAAAAACCCCACACGTTAAAAATATGAAATAAAATAAAGATAACAAATAAAATAAAACAAATAACTTAGAGTCATTAAAACCAAAGATGTTCTAAAAGATGTTCTGCTGTTAACTAACCAGGTAGATCAGCAGTGGCTGCAGACATAGACGAGACAGTGGGCGCAGAGGATGGAGATGGACCTCAGATGAATACAACATAAAGAGTCATAATAATAATAATAATATCCTGATGCATGCTCAATAATCCAGGTAGAAAAATCCAAAAAAGTTAAATCTGGTCCTCTGGACATTAAAAAAAAATCCAAAATAAAGCAAAACAAAAAATTGTAGAAAGACGAAACGTTTCTACAATTTTTTTTTTATGTCCAGAGGACCAGATTTAACTTTTTTGGAATAATAAAAATAATTTATTTACAAAGCCCTTTAAAACAACCACAGCTGCACCAAAGTGTGGTACACATAAAATCAAGAAAATTTAAACACATTAAAAAAATAAAAAACCCACAAAAACATCAAGATCAATAAAAACAGTAAAAACCGTGCAGAGTAAAATTCAGTCTGTGCAAAAAGGCAGGGAGTAAAAATGTGTTTTTAAGAGTTTTAAAACTGGACAGTGGAGGAGCTCGTCTGATGAGAAGAGGGAGATCATTCCAGTCTTGGAGCAGCAACAGAAAAAGCTGCGTCTCCTCTGAGCCTCCGTTTGGACCTCGACACCTCCAGGAGCAGCTGATCAGCTGATCTGAGGCACCGAGCAGGAGAGTATGGGTGAAGCAGCTCAGAGAGTTAGGATGGAGCAAGAACTTTTAAAAACAAATAAAAGAATCTTAAAATGAACAGGCAGCCAGTGGAGAGAAGCCAGAGTGGGGATGTGCTCCCTCTTATGAACTCCAGTTAGAAGCCGAGCAGCAGCGTTCTGGACCAACTGGAGACGTCTGAGGGAGGACTGGCTGACTCCAAGGTAAAGAGCGTTGCAGTAATCCAGCCGAGAGGTGACGAAGGCATGGATTACCTTGTTTCCAGCTGCTGCTGCGTGAGGATGGGCTTTACCTTAGCCAGCTGTCTGAGGTGATAAAAACTGGTCTTGACCACCGCTCCAATCTGGGAATCTAATTCAAAATCACTGTCCATTTTAAAACCCAAGTTAGAAACCGTTCTCTTTAAATGCAGCGTTATATTATTATTATATAATTATTATATAATTATTATAATGCTGCCAGTAGAACATCTGAAATTTGCTTAACAAATTTTCATTATTTAGTTTTACATATGCACACAAATTCATTACATACTTTGATTAATTTCTCTTGAATGTAATTCTTATAGCTAAAAATTGTGTCTTTCTTTTACCTGAGTGAATGGTTGTTTGTCTCATTTGTCTCTATGTGTCCCTGTGTGACAAAGAGACCTGTCCAGGGTGTCCCCCACTTTTCACACAGCCCTAGCTGGTCATGGGCACCCGTGACCCCCACGACCCAAAAAGAAGCAGGTAAAAGAGAAAGGATGGAATTTAAAAATGTTTATTTCTCTTTTAGCTGCATTAATTTGTTTTGTAAAAACACAGATACTAATTGAAATTCTTGAGGGGTGAATACATCTACAGCACACATCTTGTTTAAACTGCATGCAAAAAGAACCCACCTGTTGTCAAACACCAACTGCTCCGCCCCATCATAATAAATCCAGTTTTAAAATGGCCACTTTGCAGCCGTTATTACACCAGATGAAGGCAAGTCATGAATAAAATGTCATGCTGATAGTTGGGGCTGTTTGGGTTGTCAGTGGTATTTTTTTGGCCTATAAACTAAATTTGGATACCTTAACCAGCAGCTTGGGTCAATTTACGGGTTATTTTTTATTCAGAAGATTTAGTTCTTCACAACAGAATTGTTTTCTTGGTAAGGAGTAAAACAGCTGCTGTTCAGATGTCTGGACTTTTGGTCAGTTTTACATTTAGTTAGCATCATTTTTTAATGAATGAAATAACAACTGAAATTAAATAAAACCAAACCAAAAAAAAAAAAAAAAACATAACGACTGTAGATCTAAAAACAGGTTCAGATTTAACCATTTGCATATTTATCTGCAGGGGAAACCTACATTACTTTGCAGATATATTTTGCACAATACTGCCACCTACAGTGTGTTTATGGGAATTTTCACCAGCTGTTTTGTTAATTTAACAAAGAAACTGAAAAACAACATTAGCCATGGCAGAGATCTTTATTCTTTTATGTACACATTAAAAATGACTGTGCACACAGAGGGAACATGGCCTGATCACTGACAGATGTGAAGCAGTGCGAGGGGCTGTGTGCGAGGTCATCCAGACTGAAGCACGCAGCACAAACAAGACAGGTTCGATTTTTTTTTGTATTTTTAGTTCTTTTTGGTTCTATGTTGTCTAATAAAGAGTTTAGGTGGAACCCATCCCGCTGGAGGCTGCTTCAGTCCAGCTCGCTTCCAAATCCTCTCAAGGTCCTTCTCGAATCTTTTCTGTACATAACACACAATCAGTTGGTCATGTTGATGGGTACGTTTTTAAAAACAGTATGCTTTAGCTGATTAGAAACAAAGTATTCAAACGATTCCTCAGTTATTTGACAGCAGAATTAATGCTCCTCACCTGCTTTCTCGTCCCTTTGCCATATCTCACTTTCCTCTTTACGAACTTAATCCTCTTCTGGAGCTTCCTGAATTTATGTCGGTTCATCTTCCTCCGTCGGATCTCAAGAACATTTTTACACTTGATGGGAGTTGCTGAGCCCCCCGTGTCATCTAGAACAGGCAGAAAGACGGGCGGCAGCACCTTCTCCTCCAGCAGCTCGACGTCCTCCTGTGGCTGAGGAGACTCCAGCGGGGAAGGAAGGGTGTAGCGCAGGGACAGCCAGCTCTCCAGAGGACTCATAGATAGCTTCCGCGGAATCAGAGCTTCTTCCAGTTCTGGCTCAAGTTGGACCCATCGAGGAGGAGACGCGTTGTCTGCTGCTGTTGCGTAGTTTCGGAGTTTCTGTTGTAGAGAGGAGCAGGAGGCAGTAACGGCTGCTTGGATGCTTCCATTTAAAATTCCTCCATGGGCGTGAAGTGCACCTGGAAGAGAAAAGAACTTCAGTCATTTTGAGAAATATTACCAGTACTTGTGCTTTTGCCAGATCAGTGCAGGGTTTGTCAAAAAGTCACTTCAACAAATTAGTTTTTTTCAACAATCAGGAACAAAAGTGTGTGTGTGTGTGTGTGTGTGTGTGTGTGAGTGTGTGTGTGTGGGGGGGGGGTTGTCAAGAAATTCACTAAAGCCCTCGTCACACTGTTTTATTTTGCCACATATGTTAACACATCTAAAAATACCTACTAAGTGGGTCCACATTTGAAGACACGAAGCACATTTTGTGAAGTCCAGCGATGTATGACGTGTGTGTGGCATTCATGATGCGTCTCATTATGTACATGGAGTATGATGTGGAGTATGTACTGGATTGAAGAAATGATTATAGCATACTGCAGCTTAAGAAGCAGTCATGCTGCATAGCTTTAGTGTAACTGCATTATTATTGTTTTGTTTTTACCCGTGACCGTCTTGCTGATTATTTCACGAGTTGATGTAAAGAGGCCCACACTTAGAAACTTTTTAAAGCAACACTCAATGTATTTGTCAGTATAGACTATTTGACACTGCTGCCTTGTGTAGTTGCATTATTTTGTTGTTCAGCCAGTATAAACGCACCCATCAGCCTCGGACACAGTTGGCATCTGTTCCACACACTACATTACAACAAGCAACACTTGTGAATTGCACCAAGGACATGCAGCATCAAAAAGGACAGAGCTAAGTTTATAATCACACCAGGAGCAATGGACGGACGGACGGTACACAACCAGTGTCATTTGCATAATGCACCATGAGATAGTGTAATGTGTTGCTGGGTCACTGCAACAAAAATATTATTAACACATATTTTATATACGTGTTGTTTCAAACTTGCTACTTTCATTAATACAGGACAAATAAATCTGTGACAACCTTGTACTGCTGGAGATCATGCTGTGTGTGCTACAGTATCAGATAAATAAAGGGGCAATGTGGTGTTTTTGTCTTACAGTCTCATATCTTAATGTCCTAGAAACACAAGGCAGGTATGCAACAATATGACAGATACTTTATCTACACGTATCATATTCTTGTTGGCTGCCAGGCTGCTGCCCTCACTGAGGAAAATACTGCTAATGCCAACGACTCTCCATAACTTAACATTAACAGAGGGGGTCGATGTACCACACAGGAAGAACCTAAACAGATGTTACAGCATACAGGTGTACAGAAAAAACTTCAAGATGTAAAGTTTATATGCAAGCACAACATCAAAATGTGTAGACAACCACTTGATTAACCAAATGAGAAAACTAGGTTGAGAAGTAGTAGTGGAAAAGTGTTTTTATCTTTCTTTATTGCTTTTAGAGAATCCAAACCGAACAAGTTTGATTTTACTTGTCTTGTTTATGTTTGAAGATAAATTGTTGGTTTTAAAAATAGTGTGACTGAAGATGTCAAATACTTATTATTTTTTATCAAATTAAGTTCAGTTTTGATCTAACTATAAAACTTTATTTGTCCAGCCCTAGTTTTCACGTCACACAAGTTCACTTGGAGCATTGATGATACTCAAACAGTACCAGGTTCTGTCTACAGAGGAACATGGATACAGCCGAAATGCAGACACGTCCTTTAGTGGAGAAACATAGAACAATAGAAGACACAAGAAGACATTTTTGTTTGTACTTACAAGTTGCTCTACTTAAATGACTGAACCGTGTGACAATCTTCAAGGCAAACATTATTGATGATCAACCAACCAAAGTCATGAGGGATGGTAGGTTGAATGACCAGATGTCCTGCAGGCAAGAGCAAAAATCTGTCAGTCACAGCAAAACATTAGAACAAAAATTACACACCAAACAGTGGGAAAGTTGTTGGGCTAATATTGAAATCAAGTTTAAGGACCAAAAATACATTTGTTCAAAATGTCCTGATGCATCCTCAATAATCCAGGTACATAATTGTAACTGTCTATTGTTGTCATTCTTTGTTGAAATCAGGTCTCTCTTGCAAATGAGTCCTCGAGGCTCAATGGGATTTACCTGTCTAAATAAAGGTTGAATGAATGAAAAAAAGGTTAAGTCAGATCTTCTGGACAGATTCTTCTTGTTGAAATGTTTCGTCTTATATCCAAAAAGACTTCTACAGTCTGAGGCGCTGCAAAATAAATAGCACCTTCTCATAGTAGATCAACCAGTTTGGTGGTGACATCCAGAACTAGCTGTTCACATGTAAAAGGAAAACCATCAGCCTAACCGTTAGTGCTCTGAGAATAGCAAGCGACCATCAGGACACAGGATTTACTGTGCCTTTCTTGTACAGTACCAGATATTTATGAAGCAGATGATAAATGGTAAATGGACTGAACTTATGCTTTTCTATCTTATCCAGATACTCAAAGCTCTGTACACTAACCATCTGTGCCCTCATTCACCCATTCATACAGCTCTACTCTACAAAGCTAATTGAACAAATCATTCTAAAGAGACTAATCAGTGCTTTATCACGTTCATACACCGATGGGACACACTTCAGAGGCAATGAGGGGTTCAGTGTCTTGCCCAGGGACACTTCGGCATGCGACTGCTGGTGGATTCGAACCCCCAATTCTTGCATTGGAGGACGACTGCTCTAACCACTCAGCCACAGACACCCTTGATGATATCTACATTGGGATGACTGGGTGATGACTGGAACCCTGGGTACACAATTTCGTTCCACCTCCTGTACCACATGTGATGCGAATGACAATAAAACCTACTTGAACTAAAGTTTAGAAGTTGGCCTCTTGCACCAGTAGGTGTCACTGGCGTCATCAATAATTCTGATTATTGTTTGTCAAAAGGCTACTTGCAACAAAACTTCGTATCGTTCGTCCCTTAAAGCTACATCTATTCACTAAAGTTCAGCATTTGTTTCATAAAAGAAAACACAACAATGATGAATCTGGGTGTCGAATCATTAAGATAAAGGAGCCTGATAAGTGTCGATGCAAACAATGAATGAACAATGCTCGACATGTTATATAAAATGAAATTTATTCATAAAGGGCGTTAAGAATATTTAAATTATAAAATATGTTAGCATCTTTTTTAAATAAAAGTATTTTCTTTCACCTTGCCAGCGACTGGCCTTATCAGCAATCGTGCTAGCTCAGCTAGTGGCTGATGGGAAAAGTCCGTACGATTCTAAAATATTATAAAATGTGAATTTTAGTTCTCTTCTTAACTGGATAACACGATGTATACAAGCAATATACTTTTAAATCGTAGAATACTTACCTAATTTAACCGTGACCGTTGAATTTTTGGTCAATGTGACTTCGAGAAGCAAACTTCCGGTCTGTACGACACACTTGAAGTGCCTCCTGTTTCTGAGCCAGGACAAAGGTTCCGAGGCATCAAGCGCATCAATATCATGTACAAAACAGTTAGAAACCACACCTATGTAAAAGCAGAGTGCCTTTTTATCTTTCCAATTAATTAATAAATTAATAAAGCAATAACCAAGCATAAATACTAGTTTCCTAGGTGACATTTATGCACTCTAAATGTGTTTTGTTGTTGAACTTGAAAGATATATTATCTGAAATGCAGTTAAGTTTTACAAGAGGTCATTGCACTGTTTTTAAGGTGTACTTTTTCCTAAATATGTATTTTTTGGGGGGTGGGGGATGGGGGGGATGTGTTGTGTGTGCAGCTCATTGTCAGTTTTAATAGAACAAAAGCACTGAAGCATCAGTATATTTATATAAAATATCAAGAAGAAAAAGCTGTGTGGTGCCTCACTTTAGACAAGACAAAGAGATTGCCTACATTATTTGTGCATTCATTAATTTTATTATAACCTAGTTGCCTGAATAATGACCAACTGAAATAATTCTAAAAGCAGCTTTAATATACAGAAGGAAAAAAAATCAATATTTTAAGATGGAATTGTCAACATCCGAGTTACTTTAGCTACTTATAACTTGTTAAGGAAAGAGTCGGGGGGCAGGCTTGTTGTTGTTCTTGTTTCTGCATAACGTCACTATAAATTAGATTTTTTTAGGCATATAATAGCATACACTCCCTGGCTTAGGATAAATCACTGCCCAATTTTAATCACTCATATAAATGCTGTGATGAGCAATCAAGAATTGATTAAACCAAACTGATCACCTATTTGTTTCCATAGAAATGCATACTGACGTGTGTGTGTGTGTATGTGTTTGTGTAGTCTGTGGTAGCTCCTCAATTTTTAAACAGTCTCGTATGTGTGGACAATACCAGAATTCACAGGGCTCAGAAATGTGGAGGAGGGATTTAGGCTGCACGTGTATGGGGTGCTGTTTGTAAAGATGCACTGTCAAAAATTAACATCAATATTTTTGATTTATTTAGCTTTTAATTAGAAAAAAAAAGTATTTTTAAAGTCATATTTTCACCATGTTATTCATACATTTATAAATGTCCTAGTTCCCAACTAAATATTTAATTTATAAGATAAATATTCAGTTTACAATCGAAATATTTAACTTGCAAGTTAAATATTTAGTTAGTAAACTAAAATTTAGGTACACTAGTTTACTAACTAAATATTTCACTTGCATGTTAAGTATTTAGTTTGTAAACTAAATATTTATCTTGTAAATTAACTATTTAGTTGGGAATTATTACATTTATAAATGTATAAATAACATGGTGAAAATATGACTTTGAAAAAAATTTTTTTTTTTTTTTCTTATTTAAAGCTAAATAAACCAAAATATTGATGTTAATTTCTGACTGTGCAACTTTACAAACGGCACCCCATGTGGACAGTTTTACTTGTGGATTTAAGTCCAGACCCCTATCCGACTGATAAAAAGATTCATACAGCAGTTAAACTTATCTCTGTCAATACAACAATCTAGGGGACAAACTGTATACAAGAGTAAAAGTTTAATTCGTAACGATGCATACCATGAGTTTTGAAGACATTATATTATTCAAGCTAAAGGTGTCTCAACAAAATATTTGTGTTTTACATTTTTTTGCTCAAGAAGTATATCAAATAAACAAAACAAATCCTAAGCATTAGAATCTAAACAAAAATGTGGCATAACTTTTTTTAAATTTTATCTGCCGGCTTGTGAATTTCCTACTAGTATGTTTGGCCCATTTTTATTGTATGACTGCATACGTCCTTGTTTCAGTGTCTCATGAAGATGCTGCTGATTGTGTCTGAACACATCTGTTTGTTTAATAGGAAGCACCTACTTTTAGATCGCTCCAGTTTCACCCTCGTGTGCAGCTGCATCAAATCATTCATTCATGGGACTTTCTCCTCTTGGCTTCAGAAAACAGTAGAAAACAGGTCACTGACTATAAGTGCTTCACAACAAAGATTATAACCATGCAACATTTAAAATATATTTAAAAAAGGCAAGATGTGAAACAGGGTGTAAACTTCTGTAGAGCATTTATTTACAGTAAAAACAAGCAAAAACAAAACATTCATTTCAATGTAAATCCTGATGACTCTGTACTGGTTTTACACCATCACTGTGTGACATAAGGCAACTGAAACGATCAACGGGGTGTAGTGTGAGCTTGTCTCCTTTTATAGAACAGTCTGAACAGCTTTAAAAATACCTCTACTATACTCTATAAAAAATGTAAAATTAAAAAACAAAACAACAATAAACTGATAAATTGGCAGTAATCTGGAGATGCTCCGTCATCCAATTTAAAATCTTTTACATTATACACTATATACTCCTTTCAAATCTCTATTTACAAATCAGTAGTTGTGTTTAGAGTTCTTTAACCACCTTTTGAGCAAATAAATATAAATAGTTGAATTATATTTGCATTGCAGTTACAGCATGTGACCCCTGAAACAAAACAGTTTTACAGATAACATTATTATTTCAGTCAAAGCAACACATGCAAGCAAAACGAAACAGATGCTGAATGGAGTCACCACAGAGGAACAGTTGAACACATTTGCCATTTTTACCAGGAAGCAAATAAATAAATTAAAACACATCAAGGAAAGTCAAAAGAGAGACTGATCCCTGGTCCAACAGACACAACAGAGAACAGTTGTATTACTGAGAGATTAATAAATTAGCGGTTCACACAGACAGTGATGAAGTACAGCTAACAATGCCATCACCTTTATTACACTACTGCCTCTTAATGTTTTAGAATATATTTGCTTCACATGGAAACTTAGGTGTCGTGTTTTTGGCAATAAAACATGTTAAAAAAAAAAGGGAAAAATCGATCAAATTAAAGGACAAAATCAATTCAAAAGTTCAAGGCCACAGTTCATTATTTGAGCTCCATCTTGACTGTGGTAAGACATTTCAAAGCTAAGCTTGTAGAGAAATGGCAACCAAAAGAAAATGTAGTTGATTTGCTCTAGTGTAAC